CTCATAGCTTTCCCGCATCTTTCCATCTCTTTTCTCACTTTAGGCTCTAGCTTTTATAATATTTCAACTTGAAAATAACAGATCATAGAGCACGAGACGGACCGAACGTGCATGCGACTGTTTAAGGTTTCACCTGTATTCTTTTTCAAGCATTTCAAGCTAAGGCCGAAAATGATGATGGAATCTTGGCTTACTGGTTCATCCGAATGGCACAAAGGTTTAGTTAATTGGAAAAATAAAAAGAAACTGTTTTGTGCATAGTGGCATTTTTTTAGTCTTATACTTTAACTTTTGAACTTTTGAAACCTATTAAGTTGCTGGGTGAGTGTGTTAGCAAAAGATTTCTGGAATCAAGCTTTACACTGCAAAAGAACAATATGCATCCACGCGGCGGCTTTGTAAGCCACTTCATGCAACCTATTTGATCGCAGATGTCATAGGGAAATCTCTTTTGTATTGTATTGAACTTGAGGGATTTGACAGGATTATTCTTGGCTTCTAAGCTAAGATGAAGAAAAATAATAACAACTAAATTCTTTGAAATTAAAAATAAGTTCTAGAGAGACAGTGGAGAAAGCTGACCTGACGTTTGGAGTGTTTTTTTTTTTCAAACAAAAAAAAATGATGGAAAAAGCAAAATGTTTAATGGATTTTTACAATATTCCATAAAATGAAATATTTCGATCTAACGATTAAAATACTCAGAACATAAAATATTCCAGAGCACTCCAATTTTTTAAGGATAATGCTATGTATTCACACACCGTTTTTTTATTTTTCACACACTTGTTAATTTGTGTTCATTCTTCATTGATCTTCCTCACTTCATTTGATTCAACGATTGCAATGAGGATGAGTGTGTGAGAGAAAAAAATAAGTATATGAAAGAAAAAAAATGAATGTGTGAATAGCAATCACTTTTTTAACTGTATAATAAGCTTGGAAGGCTTTAAACCATGCAAGGGTTTGTCACAAAAACAAAGGCAAATGGGTGAAGAGAAGGCCAAAGGGATGTGGAAAAGGAAGAGGCAAAAGCTAACAACCCAACATGGGCAGCTCATTGGTTCATTAGAGAGATTGATGAGCATCACATGAAAAAAAAAAAAAAGGGCTTACAAATTGCATGCTGACTAGACTTCAACTGTCCCACAAATACACTTTTCCTTCAGCTGAGAGACTGTTGAACGGTCATTGGTCACCGAGGATACCAAATCCAGTGCTGCAATGGCCATCCAATGTGTTGGCCTACCAATGAGATAAGCGTGACATACTATATTTCACCTTTTTAATAGAGTGATTCTAGAATTTAGAGAATTGGATGATTTAGTATTGACATGTTTACAGAAGTTAGTGTTTTAGAGTACAAATAAGTTCTTGGTTTACAAAACAACTAGATGAACAAGTAATTCTAATCTAACTAGTGAACACACTAATTAATGTAGGAATAATCAGTTTTAATGTGGTAATTAAAGATCTAGCTTCCAAGTAACGTGATCCAATAAATGTAAGTAGCAAGAGACTTTATTAGTTTGCGTTTCACATATAAGTAGTAGGGAGCCTGCAGAGAAAGGTTTTGTTTGTGTTGGATTCACATACTATATATTATAAGGTAATGACTAAATTAACCATTGATAGACAATGTGGGGTAATGTGATTAACTTTGTGAAATGGGGGGATTGAAATTCCGTTGGAGACAGAGAGCATGATAGAATAAAGAGAGATGATTATGTGAAAGGTTAAACTAATTAAATGATAAACAAAGCTCGGTGATTTGTGAAAGTAGGTGCGCATTATTCTTAATCATCGGTTGAAGATATAGATTGGAATCCAAGTAAGCTTATATAAGGCACTAAGCTCTTGATATTTAGAGGCAAACCGTACGTCAGTTCTAAGTTCCGAGAGAGAAGGATTGCAACAACCTCGAAGCTAGTTCAAACTAGTGGGAGGTTGTCTGCAGAGGAAATTAAACAGCCACCAAATTTCTGTATCAGCCATATATACACTTTAACTTTTGATATATCGATCGGTCGATATGGCTCGTGGAAAGGTTCAGATGAAGAGGATCGAGAACATGGTGCACAGGCAGGTTACTTTCTGCAAGCGCCGGGCAGGGCTTCTGAAGAAGGCTAAGGAGCTGTCTGTGCTGTGTGATGCTGAGATTGGAGTTTTCATTTTCTCCTCCCATGGAAAGCTCTTTGAACTAGCCACCAAAGGGTCTCCAGCTCTCTCTACCTATTTCTGTATAATAATAATGTATCTGTATAATGTTTAGCAGATAGTTTCAAACGCCCTATAATTAAGTGGTGTGCATGTACTCTTACAAAAAATTAATAGAATTGGAACTAATATTGTATTAATTTTAAAAAATCTAGCTGTTAGATTAACTCTGATTGATATTGCTTTGTTATTTATTATGGCAGAAGCATGCAAGGGCTTATTGAGAGGTACATGAAGATGAAGTCCACCCGAGCACCTCAGACAGAGCAAACCATGGAAACACAAACTCTGGTACAATACGTCTTTCTGTTTAATTTGTCACTTCTTTTCCAATTTATGTCATTTATTTGTTTCATCACACTGAATAATTCTCATATTTATTTATATCAAAAAATAATTCTCATGTTATATACACATAGTTCTAAGGAGAACACACACACACGAATATTATTGTGTCATTCAGAGACGGAGCTAGAAAATTCTCCTAGTGGGGCAATCCGAAAAACAACTAAGAAGATCTTATTGTAGAATGACTTATACCCAATATGATAATAGGGGTGATTTCAAATAATGATGTATCACAATCTCAATGTTACAAAAATTTCAAACTAGTAGTGGAAAGTGGTAAAGTGATGAGAAAATTTTTACTACAGATAGGCGGGGGAGAGGGGTTTGTAGGTTGAATGACAGAACAAGAGCACTTTTGCTCATATAATATTTGATATGGAGTGAAGTAGAATGAATATATGTCGGATATTAGATACTATATTTACTTCAAAGATAACGTGTATATTTTATAACTGTATTTTGCAATTTAACAAACGAATTACTTGAGTGAGAACATCTGCCCCCAATGAGCCTTCATTGGCTCCGTCCATGCCATTCATTATTATTCCTAAAGCTAGTGCAGCATCAGATGCTGGTTATGAATGATTCTTACAAGATTACAAAAATTAATTAAATGCACAACATACACGCTTAGCTAGAAAAATTAAAAGAAAAAACATAGACAAAATAGCACATATATACATGATAATGTTCCTCAAATCACAACTTCTTTTTGAAAGGCCAAACAATATCAGACACCTAATTGCAGGAATCTTGAATATACAAATAAATACAAACTAAATATGCACACATATATATGCGAGTACAGTAAACTCAAGTGTTAACTAGTATTTTAATACATAGCTAACCACTCATGTTCATGTATGCATGTATATATGACATTACGTACGAATACATATTTCTAATTGGATAATGCTTGTGTTCCTTCGGGGGGAAACCTACTTATTCCTTCATTTTTAATTAACGTACGTAGTAGAAGCTTCATAATTGCAATTGATCATACTCTTTACACTACAAGAATTGTAAGTATTAGAGGCAATTTTATTGGCATCTATTAAACATTATTAGGGGCATTTATCATAGATTTTCGCCCCAAAAAAGAAGGAGTGGCGAATAACATAATCGCCTCTAAAAGTGGCGTCACTAATACTATTTACGCACCTAATTATGATTATTTCCGCTCCTACTGTTTTAGATGCCATGCTGGCAATTAAGCAATTAAGCAATAATTATGATTATTTCTGCCCCTATTGTATTATTATGATCTCTACTAATTAATAAAACTTTTTTTGTCAATCAAAAGAAGGTGAAAAGACAAATTAATCTTCTATCACACAAAAAGAATGATAGGCAATAATGTAATTTCACAGGTCCAAATTGTTTTTATTTTATTGAAGTCTCATCAACAGCTGATGTTAAAATATCTCCAATATTTAAATAAATAAAAAAAAAACCCAAAACCAAAAACCTCCCACTCCCCCATTCTCTCTCTCTCCCTCTCTCCTCATTTTCTGAAAAAATATGTTCATACACATAAAGTGTGTAGGCAAATACTAGTATTAATAATATTAACAAATATTAAATTTTAATGCTATAAATAAATAATTGGACCTGTTTTAATTGAAAAACGTTTTCATTCCCCATAAATGATATTATTAATAGGTTTCTCTCCTGTTAAATTTTTTGGGAAACTTGATATAACTCCAATTTTTTTAGCCAATAGTAGGAATAGTCCAATTTATTAGAATAGGTCCAATTTATTAGAATAGGTCCAATTCTTTAAATTTAATTATTTAATTATCAATAATTATCTCTTAAATGAAAAAATTTATTGTAAAAATCAATTTTCTTCCTAATTATCTCTTTGATTATTTCTTTTTATTTATTTGTTTGTTATTTCTTGTTCTTCCTCGTGTTTTAACCCATTTATAGATTTTATTTTTATTTTAATAATCAACCTATATCACAGGTTAATTGTATTTATCTACCTATATGACAAATTCTTTTTCATAATCAACCTGTCACAAATTAATGTATCTTACTTGTAGGTATATTATGTTTTTTTCTACCTTTTAGTTAGGTTTTATATTACACTTATAGGTATAATATACATTCATATATTTGCTACTTGAGTTAGGGTATAATGTTTTGCAGATAGATTTATGTTAGTATATTAATTTTTTTTTGTTATAAGATATTAATTAGATATTTTGGAGTTGAAAAATGCATAATATTAAAAGATTTTAATTGATTTTTAATATTTTTAGAAAATATAAATTGAGTATAAAAGAAATAAAAACATATAATTTATTAACTGGACTTACTCCTAAAAACTTTCTATGTTTTTGGACCTGGATCAAAAAGCCCCTAAATTTTTTTGATTCAAATATAATACATCATCTGGAATCAATACCATCAAAAGTAGAATCAAAATTTACTATTCATTCAAAACTCTTTAGATATACAAGAATAAACTTCGATCGACACATGATGGACAAATACAAATAAAAACCAGAAAGTAGTACATAAGGGACTCTAGCAAAACTTATATCTAATCAACAACCGGTCTTTTTTTTTTATTTGTCAAAGGATAGAATTGTATTAATTATCAAATACGAATGAAAACATTTACATCTTCTCCTAGAACATTAAACAAAAATTGAGGTCCTAATTCATCCCAACCATAGCTCTCACCATGCTTAAGAACGTACGCCACCATCATATAAGCTACACGATTGCTTTGTCAAAGGGTAAAGATAAACTTCACCGATTGGAATGACTGCATTATATTCCAAATATCAACTAAATAGACCACCATCAACACATCAGCTTGAATCTCGTTATTTAACATTTGAGCCAATCCCTTCGAATCAGACTCCACCTCCAGTACCTCCCCGGACGCATGAAATCCCCTTCAAACACACATCTGCAGCCCATGTCTTATGGCTGCCGCCTCAGCCATATCTGATGACAAGAAGTACTCCCCACCATTTCCTCCCACCATCTTTGGAATTCCTGCAAAGTCGCGCAAGACCCAACCTACTCCACCTACCTTTGTTTCCTTCTGCCATGCCGCATCAGTATTTAATTTTAACCTGCCATGCCACAAAGTCGCGCAACACCCGGTCTTTTGATTCCCAACAACAAAATGATGCGTCTTCCATGATCAATTTCTACAAATACACCAAAATGATGCTTCTTCCATGATCCATTCTTTGATCTATTTCTGGGTAACAACATTTTCACACAAACAAGAAAAACAAAATCATATAAACAGATAAAATTAATGCAATATAATGAAAACACTGTTTGAGTAGAACTCACATGAAAAGAAACGAGGATAAACATCTACCCATCGCAATACGAATAGCATACAAAACCTGCAAAACAAACAGAAAAATCAAACCTAATTCATCCAATCTGGATTCATGATGAAATTCATCATCCAAGAGATTTATAACCAATTTCACTTCAAATTCTTCACACCCCTTCAAATATACCTGCTAAATAGCAGATCGAGAGAAAAAATATTTAATCAAACAAAAAGGTAGCAATATTAAGAAGCAATGGAGAAGGAAATAAGAGAAAAAATATCTCGAAAAGAAAGAGAGAGCAGGACAAGAAAGATTAAGGAAAAGAGAGATGGGGAAGTTTGTGCCGTGAAAGGAGGAGAAAATAGGGGAGATTGATGTGCGGTTATCAGAGAAATAGGGTTTTGATGATTTCTTTTATTTATTACGTTAAGGAAATATACAAAAGATTGACCAAAAAAAAAAAAAGGAAATATACAAAATAATTAAATATAAGGGCATAAATATTCACATCCGCTCCTAATGGAAATTATTAAATTTGGAAAATATATGTTGAATTTAGAAATGTATATTAAATTAAAAAAATATATATTAGAGGCTTTATCCGCCTTTAATATCTAAATTTTAATAGACGCATTTTTTAACGCATCTAAAAGTAGTAATAGAGGCAAATATTTATTTCTGCTCCTAATGAAGATTAATAGAGGCAAATCCACATATCCGCATCTAATCTAATGCCCCTAATAGTTACAATTCTTGTAGTGTTATCATCATCTAAATATCATATTTACAAAACATCATTCAATCTAGAGATTATTTAGATATTCATATGTATCTAACAAATGAATGGTTCATGATGAGGAATGCTACTTGGCAACAAAAATGTCGATTGCTTTGAAATGCATGGATGACTAAATGATCTCCAAACTGAATAATGTTTTGCAGATATGATTTTTAGATAATAATAAAGAGTTTGAACGATTGTAATTATGAAGTTCTTATGGTAAAAAATATGTTAATCATAAGTGGGGGACAAACAGGTTTTTTCATGAGTGAACAGAAGTATTATACTTTGTAATTAATTAATGTATTTCTTACTTTATGTTATCTTTCATCTCATCTATTAGGGAAAGAGAAATGAAACCCTACATGGTGCATCTACGATAATTACAATCCTTTTGATTGACTTAGGGCATATTTACATGGATGCCATCTACGATTTTTTTCTTCTTTCTAAACCTAATTGGAATTCCCTTATTGTATTGGTATATAGGATGCGAAAAAGGAGATTAACTGGATGAAACAGGAGATTGAAATACTACAAAAAGGTCTCAGGTATTACAAAGTAAAATTATATGATCTTATTTATTATGATGACATCAATATATGTAGAACTTATATTTGCATGTGATTGTATCCATATATATTTCTAACAATTATATATGACAATAATATATATAGAGCTAAATCCATTTAATATAAAAAAAGTATGAAGGGGTAAGGGGAACTATTACATTAATTTAAAGAAGAGGAAGTTTGGAACCCAGAACACAAATACAATCAAATATCTGGTAAATTTCAATGTACAAAATTGTAATTATGACCCTTATATAAAGCACTCCATTTCTTGAACTATATCGAATAGGTTTTCTGGAGTACAATTAAATCTAGCAGAGTCAAAGTCTAGTTATTTTGCCACTCAGTACTACGGTCTGGTGGTATTCCTCTTCGCTTAGAAGTAAGAGGTCTTACGTTTGAATCTCGTGGATATGGCGAATTTCATACCAAATTAGGCTGCCCATTGTATGACTTAGCCGAACTCCCCCTCCCCTTAGTGTAAAAATATCGATATACTCACAAAAAGTCTAGTAATTTTACCAAAAAAGGAAAAAGGCATGTGGTTTAAATTAGGGACACTTTGGATGCGGTCCCTAGCTATCAATATTCTTTGATTGAAACCTTGTTAGTTTTTAGTTTTTGATTGAGGTCCCTGACATTAATATAATAATGTAAGTTACTATATTTTTAAATTAAAAATTAAAAATTGAAATTTGTAATTGTTTATATTAATGAGATTTTAAATAAACCCCATAATTTATGGGATTAAAAATAATAAAATATAAATTATACTCTCTATTATATTGTGTGTGTGTGTGTGTGTACATATATGTATGGGTACATTAACCAAAATTAACAAAAAAAGGTATTGTACCAAAACATGGATACATTCTCAAATCAACGAAAAAGAATGTACTCATATAAGTTTAAACATAGATTAAAAAATTTGAATGGATTTTATATTAAAAAAAGGGTACATTTTACATATAACAAATTGATATATTTGAGAATGGGTACATTTAAGATTTAAAAAATTGAAAAATTATATGAATGGGTACATTTAAGATTAAAAAATTGAGAATATTTTTATATATATAAAAAAAACTAATAGGTACAAACTTAATTTAATTTAATTTTTTATTATTTTAGAAATGTTTGAATTGAAAATTAATTAGAAGTTTAATAGAGGTGTGAGTATTAAACCCTAAATTAATTACTAATTTTTATATTAAAAATTATATAATAAACATGTAAATTCATTATCACATTAATGATAGGGACTTGAATCAAAATTTGAGAACTAATAAGGTCTTAGTCAATGAACACTAAGAACTAGGGACCGGATACTAATTTTTCCTTAAATTAATTTAACTCAAAGATTATGAATTGGAGAAGCAAACTTTCAAACATATCATACGTAGTAACAGGTTAATTAGGTATGATTAGTTTGGTAATGGTTGTAATTTTGGTTTTAAGGGAATTGGATTACATATGAAAACATTATAGGTATATGTTTGATGGAGGTGCCGGGACAATGACTTTGGATGAACTACAAGTGCTTGAAAAACATCTTGAAACGTGGATTTATCATGTCCGCTCGGCAAAGGTATCGTTTTTATCCATCACTTACATTATTATTATTATTTATTTCAATCCATAAATTACCTCTAAGCAACAGTTAATTCATGTTATGTGTGCAGATGGACATTTTGTTCCAAGAGATCCAGCTGTTGAGGAACTCGGTAAGTTTGCTCTCCAAACTCCCGAACTTACTTTTTGATGAGATCATGCATTGGTGTTGTATTGTATATAATGCTGGAGATGTTAGTACATACATAAACTTCATTAGATAAGATCCATCAATGTTCCAAAACAGTTTGGCACAATAGTTTCTTTCCGTTCTTTTTGATAAGTTTTTAATATTATATCAATGAGAAGGGGAGCGAGCGGGGATGCAATTGGAGATGTCTACCATAGTAGTTTATAAGTTTAATTGGATCGACACTTTGATTTATGTTATTAGATTAGAGCTCTCTGTTTATAGGAAAATAATAATCACACTGTTTAATCATGTTCATTGGTTTTACTTGATTGATTCAATTCAGTTATTATAAATAAAGAGGTGAATAGGAGAAGAAAAATGGTGCGTGGTTGTCATTTCTCTTTGAATAAGCATAAGATTATAAAGATGATTTCAAAAAAATAACTCCAATTATGCTCCTATCACTTCCTAAGGTGGGATACCTCTAAGAGCTCCTAAATCTAAGGAGGGAGAAATGAGCTCCTAGTGGGTTTATGTAATTAAATGCTCCACGTTTAAGTGTTATTATCTATAAATAATTAAATTCCTATCAACTCATAGTCATTGTGACTTTCTAAATTATGGAGTAAAACTTTGTTAGACAACTTCAAAAATAACTTCTCTCTCTTTTTAGTAAATTGAGCTATAAAAAATAGAGAACATGACTGGAGTTGCTCTCAAATTCCTATATCTAGTGTTTTAGAGTGCACTATTTCTTTTCACTAATGTTGCCTAACTCCCTTGGTACTTGAAAATCACTGGTCCAAATGCAACACCAATTTTTTTTTGGAAGAGAGCTCTTCATGGCCTCCAAAGTTTTTGGCACTACAACTTGACTTCATTTGTTTTTTGTTACTTCATGAAGAATAAACCTAGGAATCATTATCATATCCATCAAATGCCACTTGAGTGGGCACATTCATGGCCTTTATAAAATTTCAACTTTTAATTTTGGATAATTGATTGAAATTTTATGTTTATTGATAATATTGTTGCCTTGCTTTTTTTAATCTTCTCAAATAATTAAATTGATATTTTGAAGGAAGGAATTCTGGCAGCTGCAAATAAGTTTCTTCAAGATAAGGTAATCAACATTGTTACTAAAGTTTATGGTAAATTGTAGCTATTATCGCTAATTATTACCAAATTTTCAATTTGTCTGCCAATTCAATTTGTTGAAATTTGATCATCTGCCAATTACCCTTTTTTGGCAAGATTTATGAGTAAAAATACCCCATATATTGTATATACTTATCTAACTTTTTAACCGAATTTCTATGTTTAATTTAGAACGAAATAAAAGAGGCTGATTAAGTAAATACATTGCGGGTAGTTATTTTTCCCCAAAATAATAAAAAAAAATGGAAAATTTTATTTGAACCCATATAACCTCTTTATACAACTAAGGTATGACTCAATTTATGAATATTTTGTTCGTTTGATTTTAATTTTTTTAAAAGTTTAGAAGATGAGTATTTGGGTTTCAATTTTTTTTCATCTATCCCAAATGATTTTTTAAACTTTCTACATTTGAAAAATTCTAAGAAAAAACTTCTTACCAATGTTTTTAGATTATAAACTTCATTGCTTGTTGATTAATATAAGGGGATAAATTGGTCGATTTGTTGCTTATGCACATCAGTAGAAAGAAAAAAGACAAATGTCTGGGTTTGGTAGCAGAAAGAAAAAAAAAGTAGCCATGAAAATGCTAGTGGGGAGAGGGGGGTGAGGCAAGGACACCTCTTTAAAAAAAATAACTTCAATTACATATGTTATTTTATAAGATAACTTAAAATTTTTAATTGAGTTTGAGATGGTAGTTTAGGTAATAAATTTGGGTTTAAAGAGAGATTAATTGTTTAATAAAAAACAATATGGGTGAAGAGAGTAAGTTGGGTGTAAAAAGAGGTTACATGAGTTCAAATAAAATTTTTCAAAAAAAATTCAGACTTTGACGTCAAGACCAAAGTGACAAAGTGTTAAATGATTGGGGATAAATTCAAAGATGAATGTTAGGAAGATTATATTTGTAGACAAAATTTACAAATTAAATGATATTTCATTAATAAGAAATGAGCACGTTTATCAATAGGAAATGAGCACATTTATCAACGCTTAAGTAATAATCTAATTATCAACTTCCATATCATTTTAGTTTACAAATTTGTCTACAAATTTAATCTTCATAGCATTATTCAAATTCAAAATACCAATCGAGGGGCCAA